ATATACGGCATTTGACAAACTCATATAATAGAGAGTAGTTGTGAATTGGTTCTGAAGAATTTGCAAAATTTACAAATTCTTCAAAAAATGCTGGATCTTTTAGTGCTTCACATAAGCCAAAGTCTTGAAACTCTGTACCTGAATCAATATTATATTCAAGTTCTTGAATATAATATTGTATTTTGGTTGTATTATAATTCCATGGCATTTTCAAGATGACTTTGGCATATGCATAAGCAAATTCATATCTATTGTCACCTCCTAGACGACATATGCTCAAAGATAAATGTATCCACATTCCCAACCATGTTTTTAGTAAATCAAGTGCCGCATCTACACCTGCAATTAATTCATCAACTAATATGTGCTGAATGTATGCCACATGAGATTCGAAATGAGTCTGATTGAGTTCTATTATTGAATAATATAATTGCACCACCTTTGCATCCAGACATATAGGCTGTGTTATCAGTTGTCCAGGTAATACATTTTTTTGAATCTAATTTACAATTTATACAAGTTTCAATAACTGTACTAGCAACTGTTGATCTATTACAATGCGAAAGATCTTTTATTTCTAACATAGTTATACATGGTTGATTTGTATTTAAATTCCAATAGCTAAAATATATTATAAATATTTTGCTATTGCCTCGTTTAGATTCATCTGCCATTATTCCATAAGTGAAGAATTAATCTTTTTCAATTATATTATATATATTAAAAGTATATATAGCTGCAACATCTTTGTACCATCTAATAAGAGTTTTTCTTGAAAACCACTGATCAGGTTCTTCATCAGTTAGCCATTCAACAACAGCTTTAGTACATTCAATAGCAGATCAAAAAGACATTGACCTAATTTGACTAACTTTTGTTGCCATTTCAATAGTTTTGGTTGTATAATGTCTTTTTGTTCTCATTAGTTGTTGTTGAATAAAAGCTTTTAATTCCTTCTTATTTATTGTAGAAGATTTATAAGCATTAGATCACATATTTGATATATGTTGCTTGTGAATTTGTAAGAATTTTCCAATATGTCCATGCAATGATTTATTTTCTGCTTTAATTATCCCTTAAACCGTATAGCGTACATATTTGTACGCTTAAATTTTTAAAGACCTATTACTTAAAATTTTATTAGGCTATACCCCCCGT